TTTCTTTAACACCTAAACAATGCTTAGAAGATGTCTACACAAATGAGGCACTAGATTAGATTTATCTTGTACCTAACGCTTTCTTGAAGCTTTGTTTATTCGTGATGAGGTGTATATGATAAGAAGGTGAGAGCAATAAAGTAAAGTGATCCGCGCATTGGGATCAATTTACAAGAAGAGAGCATAGCACAGAATTCAGGCACAATGCCAAAAAGCAAATGATTGGGAACATATTTGCACTTTTGGACCCCAAATCAAATCCCTCTTTTTGTGAGGAATATAATGGAGTGGATGTGGTAAATATTTGAACACACTTGCCAATGCTGTCCTACACCAAACACAGGAAAGTGGGCAATAACATGGCAAAAGGGCCCAACTCCAACAACAAATGAATGAGGGAGAACTCTCTGTAAGACTAAGAAGAAAGATAATTCTAAACATGAAATAGTGGTTGGAGACAAAAGATAGATTCACCATTGATATACTAAAGATATGCAAGTTTAGAGAGAAGCATCTGTTTTTACGTGCATGGGTAATCTATATGGCTAAGATGCTGGTGACAACAGACAAAGATACTCTGTTCCTCGACATATTGGGCTTAGCTATTAGGGTTACCATCCTCATCATTCTGTGTGGATGGTGCTCTCTTCTTTGGGTTTACTAGTAGTGCATGTGTAATCTTCTCATAGGACTCTCTCTCTAGTGCTTTGCCAGGAAATCGAGATCTAAGATCTTCGGGTTGGGTTATGAGATTGAGGATTGATAGAAGGCTAGGGATCTAGGGATTGATATGTAGAATTAGGGATTGAGAACGGGGACCGGGAAGAACATAATTAAGAATTCAGAGAGAGAAGCCTTGAGAAGAAGAATGAGAGAGAAAATTTGGTTTGGCCAAGCAGAGAGAAACGAGGAAGAAAGGGAAAGACTCGAAGTACTTTTCGTATTAACTTGATTGATTCTAAGTGGATGTTAAGTACATATTTATAAGAAAATACTGAAAAATCAAACGATAATCTTAGGGGTCGTTTGGAAGTTGCGATTGTTAAATAGATGTATTGTTGAGAATGCATGTATAATATTATACATGTATTGTCGAATTTAATGCATTGTAGAATACAATGTTTGGTATGTGTGATTGTGTATGTCGCATCAGCTAAAAGCTGAGACAAAAAACAATCTCAATTCAACTATCTCAACAATCACAACTAAAAGTTGAGATATAACAATCACTCAAAATGAGTGATAGTTTCTGTCACATCACAGAAACAATCCATGTATTGTTTCTGCTAAAAAAACAAAAAAACGATGCATTGTAAACAATACATGCATAATGACAATCTCAACAAAACTATCGCAACTTCCAAACGAACCCTTAATACGACTCTAATGCTAGGCTTGGTAGCTAGGTTCTTCTACGAAAGTTTATACATATGCTTGTTTCTCTTTGAAGTTTGCATGTGCTGAGTATTAATGATGAATCTCTATCTTTTGTCTGTTATGTAGAAAATACTTTGCTTCTCAACTTATTAGATCAACTAGGTTACTACAATGAACATGCCTTATTATAGTATGCTACATTCTCTCAATTCAGTCGTCTTATATGTGAATTGAATCGGATTATTTGTGGTAAAGTTTGTCTTCCTTTGTCTAAAATGTAAGAGATATAATGTTTGGTATCGTTGAATAGATTTCAAAGTTCGATTATCCTACATAAAAGTATTTTCTTTAATATGTTAATGAGCCTAATTTAACAAAAAGATAAGAACCATATGAATACATTGTATAGATGAAAACTTCTAACGTAAAACTTCTAAATTAGAATATACCTCTAGCTTTCATCCTCACCTAAACCTAAGAGACATTAGTCTGTATAAACACCTGGATCCTAATGGCTTGGTGCCCTAAAAAAAGTTTATATGCTATGGTATGAACATTATCGCATCTCCATTTTAGTATGAAACTCCCACCCCACACCGCAAGGTAAAGAGAGGTTTGGGTTTGTTGGCAGGGAAGAAGAAAAAAAAAGTGATAAAAAAGCAGAAAGATTCCCACCATTTGCATTTTTACTCTATTTGGGGTGTTCCCTTTTTCCTCCTTTCCTTTGATAATACCTTTTCTTTTTAATACAAATTAGTGTTCAATATACTCCGTAATCGTGGCGATTACGATAATGTTACAAGAATTTTGACAAGGGGACAAGAACAATAATCGAATTGTTTGGAAGTTTCTAATCGAAGAAAGGTTTCTGAATTGACTGACTAATTATAACTGACCGGAAGATATGATATTCTTTTATATCAACGCTAAACTGTTACACATGAAAACTCCATCTTGATGAAAGAAACTCGTCTAAAAGTAGCGATCATAATTTTTTGCGACGATGAGACTTTCCATGTCCACGATTCATTTGATAGTGCTTCAAAGTTAAAACTTAAATACCCACATTTCTAGTTCCCCACTAAATTTGTTTGCCGTGAACAAAACGAAATGGGATCTAATCTAATCAAACCTTTGAACAAATCAACAAAAGAAGCTAGAGATGGAATCAAAATCAAAGACATTCATGATTTCATTTGGCCCTCCATTGTCTTCCCCCCTCCCCCCACTTACTAACAAGTATTCCAAACAAATACCCACTATACATTTACACCCTTCTCCTTCTTCCCCACCGCCACCACCTCCTAAATCTAACCCATGAAAAACAGGAAGAATCCCTAAACAGTCACAAACTCTAAGAGATGAACAGTATCCCCCAAGTATCCTCCTCCTCCTTCCCCACACTTCCAAAAGACCCCCTAATTTACTAGACTCTAAGCAGATAGACGCTGAGCTCAGGGGCGCCATTGCTGTCGGGATTCATCATGTAGAAAGCCTCGGAATCTCTGGACCCAACAATCCTCTCGAACTTAGCTCTCATGTACATGATCTCCGTCCTCTCACCTTCCCCGTAGCTCGGCATAACCCCGGCCCCCATCGAGACCGGCTCCAGAGCTTTCAGCAGCTTCCACTCTTTCACGCCACAGTACTCTTTCCTCCCTGCAAACCCGCATTTCTTCCCGTTGCAGAATGCCCTCCAGTTCTGCTCCTCCAGCAGTCGAACAGGGCCACAATTGCTAGGACCCGAAACAGGGGAGGCTTTTTTCCTCTGCCTATGGTTACCTTCTTGCTTCTTGTCGCACTCCAGGGCAATTCTGACTAACCCAGATGCCATTTCCTTCACCAGCCCGCTAATTGGCGTCGCCAGTTCGATCAGGAAGGCAGGTGGGGAAGTGGGTTCTTTCTGGAAGGCGAAATTGACGTGCCCGTTTCGCGACCCGAACAGGGTACCCACGACCCGGTGACCCAGACCCGACGGAAGGCTGGACGGCGACAACCCGAACCGGTTCCTGCCGAACGTGGAGAGTACGGATCGGAGCCTGGCTACGGCAACGGCGGGAAGCTTCTTTCGCGGAGTCGGGATTCCGCTTCTGAATTTGGTGCTGCTGCTCTCGTCTCTAATGACCCAGGAAGCGGAATGCTTGAGGGTTGGAATTGCAGAGGATTTGGCGGCGGTTGGTGGGGGGATTTCGTCGTCTTCTTCGGTTCCAACCTTGTTGGTCCAGTGGAAGTGGCGTTTGGAGCTGGAGGAAAGCTCCGGCGTGGCTCTAGTCGACATGTATTGGTTTGTAGAGAGGCAGAGTATAATGGGAAATGAGTAGAAACAAGAGATAAGGCGGCTGCTTCTTCTGCTTCTACTTGTAGTAGTAGTAGATGAAGATGCAGGGGAAAAGCAGAGTGGGTTTTTGTTTATGGAATTCTTTTGTTATGTAGTGACGGAAGGGAATCCTGACAAAAGAAATAAAGGGGAAAGAGAAGCTGAGGTGGGAAGGAAGAAGACTGGAAGAGAGTTGTATAGTAGTAGTGGTAGAGTGGTGTTATTATAAGTCTGTTGGTATTGGAATGGGGGAAAGGAAAGGAATCAAAGTAGAGAGGGAGGGGACAATGGGAGTGTAATTTCACTTTCTTTGTGGGGCACTGAAGAGAAGGAGAGTAGTGATTCTGTTACTTGACTGTCTCTCTCTCTTTTCTTTTGTCTCTCTTTTGTTCTCTCAATTTACTTTGTTCTCCTATTTTGGCTTGAACCAGAAGGGAGCCCAGTGACAAATAGCCCGGTAGGCAGATTGATATGGTACGAGTAGGTCGTACAATTGATTTGAATAGTTTTTTGTTGTTTCGTTCATTCAACGAGTTGTAGTTGAGACTCCTCTATAAGATTGATCGGATCGTTCACTACGCATCTACATTATCGATATGATAGTTTTATTTCGTCATTCATACGGAGTTTTGAATATCGAACAATAGCATTTTAGCTGAAACTTCACGATGGTGATACAACTCTGATATTGCTAGACGAGCCATCACACCAACGTGCTAGTTTTGTGCTTCAATTTCAAACAACTCAAACTCTACTAACACTCAAACTTGAACTTGAACTTAAGCTCCCCTCGCGAAAAGATCCGAAAGAGAACAAACATGACAAAACAAAACTAGAAGAAAGCACAAAAGCAGAAAGAAAAGCAAATCAGGCAGACATGCTGACGCCATGCTGTCACTCCTCCATTGCTAATAATACATGCTCTGGAACCGAAGCAAAGCAAACTGTAGCCTTCGTTCTGCAACAGTGTTGTCTGTGTTCGTAACATGAATCAGGGGAGGGAGCAGCGTTTGGGTTCAGTAAATCAAATCCCACCCAACAGGCAGAAGATGTTGTTTTTCTTATGAAAGGTCACCATTACATTTGAACCAACCTGGTCTCTCTCTCTCTGTCTCTCGATTCGACTAGTCTCCACCGCCACCTTCAGCACCATTACAATTACCCTTTACACGTTACCTTCCTGGTAGCGGGGCCTACTTTGCTCCCTCTCGATGTTTTGGCACTTCTTTCAGATGTTCACAACATATTGGGATCTTTCATCTTTGTGGCCATCCATGTCACTAAGCTGAACTCTAATTGGGTTATTGGGTTTATCAGAATCTGTAGCGTTATAAGGGGAGAATGATGGAATGATCAAATCTGATGTCATTGCACCAAATCATGCAGTTACATAGGCATTAAAAGAAAAAGAATTTGGTTACACAATGCTGCACATGTGCCACCAACGAAGCCAGCTACGATCCTAATGACCAACGAGGCTAGGATGTTCTAACCCGTTTCGTAGTTTCGAATGGCGTTTTGCATTCCACGATCAGGCATAAAACCTGCTATGGTTTTGATTAAATGCAACAAGATCAAGTACTACAAAGATCATGGAAGACTAAAGCTCTTAGTCAACCAGTTATGGCCGTCACTGAACATCTATGCACATTTTTTTGTATCTGCTAAGGTGGTGTTGCAGCTGCAGGAATCCTTGTCCTGGTCGATCGATCAGGCAAGAACCCATGTTGTGAAATCGCGATCTCGAATGCTTTCATCTTCTCCCCACGCGGAGGGTTCCCATTCCGATCATAAGTAACTTCATTGATGCTATGACTAACACATGCCTTGATGAGTTCCTCACCCAGTCTTTCAGCAGCTTCCTGTCAATAATAAATACGCAACAACAATCAGAAAGTGGACAGCACAAAAAAATCATAAGGCTCTGGTAGCGTGGTCTCACGATCGTGGAACAAGGTGGATCGCCTCGAATGGATTTCTGGATGGTGCTTCCGTAAAACAAAATTTTCTTGTTTTGATCATCCACCAGCATTGCATAAAGTTGCTTGGTTGAACAGAACACTGACAGCCGTGGCTTCATGGGCGTCCCGTTGAACTGTTGTTGATATCGCAAAAGCTTTAACCGATATCTCCCAATTGAATAGGAAACAGAAGAAAACACGGTTGAAAAGTTACCTTCTTTAGCCTCCTCCTGTTCATGGTTTTAGCACTTTCTGTTCTTGCTGGATTCGCTCTTGATCTGGCAACCAGGTTCATGGCCCGAAAGTCTAAGCGGCAAACGAAGGAAAAACAGAGGTTCATTGAGGACTTTTCACAAACAGGTGGCGGAAACACAACTAAGGACGCCTGGTGGAAATTAATGGGAGGGGACTTACTGTCTATGAGAGTTCAGAGTACTTACTCTGCATCTGGATGGGCACGGCGACGACGAGGGAAGGTTTGAAATGGTTCCCGAAAATGCTACAAGTTCTGAGATGGAGTGTGGGTGGTCTAGGAACGACAAGCGCCATGTCGATCTCCGGAATGAAGTCCGAGAGAGATGGGATGCCTAAGCAAGCTAAAATTGGTAAGAGAGCCTTAAACCATCAAGGAATTACCAGCAGCCGCGGAAAGGAAAGCAGTTCTGTTGGTAAATTTTATGCAGTACTTCCGGGGTTCTCTGAGGAAATCCGTCGAGCATGTGCTGGGCAAAGAAATATGAGGTCAATGTCGTCCGTTCATCTGGTTGGCCAATTTCTGGATCTGGCCCCTTCTCCTTCGAAGAGTACAGTAAATAGTTCGGAAACTTATTTTGAAAAATTTATTTTAAATTGAAACATTTTTATATTTGATATTCAAAATGATTCATTTTCAATTCTAAACTTTGAATTCTATGGAATTGAAAGTAGTTATAGCAATTTCGGGGAATTGAAATAAAATTTCCAAGGGTGCGTTTGGATAAAATGATTTGGATTTGGTATTTGTGATTTGGATTTTCAAATACCAAATCATGTGTTTGGATATTAATTACATTTGGTATTTGGATTTGTATCAAATTTATGGGGTGATTTCCAAATACATGTCTAGTGTATTTTTTGTCAACTTCAAATACATTTCAACAACTAGTGATATGAAATACCTCCTAACAAAAAATTGGACCTATTTGTAAAATATGAAAAGTTTAGGTACTATAGTGTGAGGGAAAACATATAAAGGTACCAAAAATGTAATTTTACCATCAAAATTTCAGGACCTTTTTGTAAAATTTTAAAATTTTAGGTACTAAATATTAAGAAAAAATAAATTTGGGTACCAAATTGTAATTTACCAAAATTTGTAGTAAGTGACCAGAAATTTAAAAATTCAAATTGAAAATCGTAAAATAGAAAATACAAACATATTACAAATGAGTAAATTTGAATTACATGTATTTCAAATACATTCATTTCAAATGCTAGTATTTCAAATACCTTACATTTAAAATACACTTATCCAAACGCACCCAAATGAATTCCATAAGTAGACCAAATCAATTAACTCATGTTAACAAAATCCTTTAATAATAATAATATAAAAATGAAAGTTTTAAACGTATAAAAACAAGCGGATTTGAGTGAACAAACTTGGACTAATTATATTTTTTTCTGAGTTATACATCAGGATGAAGATCCATAGGTGGCTAAAGTACACAAATCTAACCGCATATCCACAGTGGTAGTAAACTGCACTTGCCACCTGCATTCTTTGTACAAATCTACTATATTAATAATCAGGAGAAAATGAAAAAAAAGAAACCACTAGTACAAGGACTGCAAGGTAGAAGATTTCTGTGTGAGATGTTGCCTGCCTGCCTATGTTGTTTTCCCAGACGAAATCTTTTCAAGTAAAAGAAAAGATAACAAATGAAAATGGCTGAAATACCACTACTACTACAACTACTACAAATTAGCTCTCTAAACTTCTATCGTTCTCAGTTTGTTGCTTCGGGGCAGCGACCCCACCTCCGTTCATTCTTGCTCTTGCCTCTGCAAACATTCTCTGTTGCTCTGCTGCTGCTTCTTCCTCCGACATCTCTGTTCCGTTCCACTTACCACCGCCTTTTAGAGTGTCCTGCTGAAATCAAGCATAAGAACTCAGCCTTCTTTGACGAGCCAAACATCATAAAAAAAAGGGGACGAAACAGAAGAGATCAGACTCGGCCATAGAAATTACCATCGTTTCAAGCTTGTGTTGCTCATAAGCAGCATAAACCTCCTCGATGTATTCTCCAAAACCAAGAACCTTATAAGGGCAGAGAGATTGGACGTTAGGTCACTAACCCAACGACCAATACTATGATCTCAATATTCACACAATTCAATCATTTATTAGACAGTATCAGTTGTCCTATGGCAGCCATTTTTCACAAAGCCTAGCCAAGGTTTAGTTCACGTGGCCTCATACTTCTTTATCAATTATCAGAACAATTGAGCATAAACCCACAACCCAAACAAACAATACAATTAATTGAAAGAAGTGGAATAAGGTAAGAACCTCTAGAGCCTTGAGAACATGTTCAGGTGCAATGGTTCGTTTATCTTCTCTGCTACATACTTCATTAGACTCTGAGGATATGAGATTAATGAACTCTGCAAAAAAGAGTTGAACCCAATTGAGCATGAAAATCATACAGAGAGCAAAAACTATAGTAGATGAAGTAATGCTTAGAATAACTGAAACACTGAGCAACAAACTTTATGAACCTGTGGAAACACCTAGGCAACTAATTACAGTGTGCGAAGTGAACAGACTGATCTGGGCTACAGCATGATAAAATGGGTCAAATCCTTCAAGGAAGACCAGAAGCCAACTGATCTCCAAACAAGAAAGTCATAACACAGAAACTACGGTAGAGATGACAAGGCGCAACGCAATGCTCGACGAATGCATAAAAAACTCACCTACACAACATTCAATCAGAAGATCTTGGGCATCCCGTGCAACACGCACGTCTGGTGGTAACATCTCTTTAATAATTTTGGTCATAGTTGCTGAGAGGATAAAACACACAATCTATGTCAGTAGATCATATATTTTAATCCAACATACACAACCAGAATCAGCACAGACAAGCACTTCAGGTAGAAATTGCCAAATCATAGACAAAGAAACCCTATCAAGGGATTAACAGCTAGCTGAATTATATCATACAAGGCACCATCAATCCTGATAAAAGAGTACCGAAGGCATGAAGGTCAAGGTGTTTAAGGTATCCATTCCAAACTCTCAGAGATTAAAGACCATACTTAACCTATAGTGACAATGTAACATTACTCCATGACTGAGTGGGCCAGATACCAAGAACAAATGAAAGGGTTAAGAGTTTCATAAACAGCTGACCTCAGGAAGCAAACCCTACAGTCAAATTGCCTCTCACTCTATTGCCCTGCACCAGAAAAGTTCAACAATATTGATGCGCTACCCAAGGAAGTTAATCCTCGGATCTTTTCATCTATTCCCTTCCCAGTCCCAAACCAAGGAACCAATAACACAAGGATCCCACTAATTGTATTATCCTTCAGATATGTCCACCAACGAGCATCTCAAATCAAAACAACACACTACAAGAAAATTCCTATAACAGCTGAAGTAGCACACAATTGATTAAAAAAAGGAAATAGATCGTAGCAGATAATTGGACGATCCATTGCAAACCCGAAAATTTACCTTTAGGAAGCGAAGCGTCTTCCTTCGATTTACCAACAATATCCATCGGGTCCATCTTTTACTTATCTCAAACCCTAAGCAACAGAGTAGAATAAATTCAGCACCAAGGCCATACGTAACGCCGTATTGAATCAAACCGAAGGAAAATTAAATCGAAGAGTACGCAGATCTGGAAAACGCAGAATCGGAAAAACAACGGCGCCGGAGATAAAACCGAGGAAAACAAGAGACAGGATTCAGCGACTCACCGAGTCAAGCCGCTGGGGCGGGGGTGGAAGGGAGGAGGGAAAACGCCTTTTCCAGACAAAAGCTAAAAGAAGCGAGTCGGCCGGTTGGGGATCCGCGTCGGAGTGCCGGCGTCGGGAGCGATCAAGCGGAAGAAGAAGAAGAGGTAGGGCGGAGGCGGCATGGCTGATGATGGTGATGATACATATGGATTTTATCAGGAAAGGGCATATGATATGATGATGGTGGTGATGATGGTATCGTTCCCTTCCTTCTATCCGCTAGTTCACGATAAGAGACGCAGGTCCCGCTCACAGGCGATTCGGGCAAAGCAAAAGCAAAAAAAAAAAAAAAGAAGAAGGAAAAAAAAAGTTCGCAATTGCCAACAGTTCCCAACCTCCCCCACCACTCCACGCCTCCCCCGGCACCAACCCTCCCACCAACACTTACCCTTCTTTGAACCACGCGCCTGCGTGCCCACGTTGGGACTACGGTTGACCAGCCTCCTTACCTGTTACTGTCTCTGGCGGGACCCGCAAGGTTTTGATTGGTGAGTGAGATGCACGGACCGTGTAGCGCGTGATTGTAATCGGTGGTTCTGTTTTCTTTTTCCGCTTTAACTTTTGTGATTTATTTTTCTTCTTGGTTGGAGAGATAGCGAAATTTCACAAGGGGGAAAAAGTCGAAAAGATCGGGCGAATCAGGGGTCGCTTCTGTATCCGTGACTATTTGGCTACGAGATGTGGACTCGTGGAGTACGGATGGTGTTACCGGGCCCGTCATCGGGTTAATCTTTTTGTCCAGGAAATTTGATGGGCCGGCCCATCGAGATTGGTTTATGGTTTACGGTCGAGGCAAACAGCAGTGGACCAAACACAAGAGCGCCACAGAAGAGAAGAGGAGTGACAGAACTGAGAAGAAACTTTCAAACAAAGAATATCAGTTTACTACTCACAGAAAGACAAGCAGCAATTACACAGATAAAGCTTCAAGTCGACCCTATAGTTCTGATTCAAAAAGAACCATATGAATGACTTTGGAGAAGCTGTAAAGAAAGTTTGAACTGTCCAAACTGCAGGATGCGCGGGAAGAACCTGAACTTCGATCAAACCTATCAACAAAATTAGACAAAAAGACTATAATCAGGATAACGAACCGGAAGGCAGATAAGGACGTGCCAAAAACCTAACGGTAGATGGTAGTTAACTGGTGGGAAAGTAGAAAATGTCATGGCTGTTGAAAATGGAGTACTTTAAAGCATATGTTGACATTGCTGGTTAGTTAGTATGTACGTGTTGAGAGACCAAGACAACTAATGCGTAGTAGTATCGACAAGCCAAGGCAAACATGGAGAAAAGAAAGACCATGCATCCAGGAAGCAACTTGATTAGTGACAAAGCAGAACCTAAAACTAACTTGTGGATCACAAATTCAGGTGCATTATTGTGAATACATTCCTTAGAGCAAAGAATATAGAGCAAGAACAACCAGAGTGCCTGATGAACTCTAGCAACAGCGACTGGCAAAAATACAAAACAGTTTGGAGTGCCATTTCATACACACATGGGCAAAGTGCCCGCTAACATAGTCATCTAAAGTACTTTGGACACTATAACTCACTACATCACCTAACTATGCATCCAAATTCGTAGCTTAATATAAGTCGAGAGAGAACAAGCCACTTTGTGGCCTTGAACATCTATGACTCAAATTCAACACTCAGTTCTAAAATCAGATGGCAACCAAACACACTACCCTTATGACTTATGAGCATCAAAGGGTAAATATTCAACAGTAATCATCAAAGTGCACACACACCATTTGGATTCGATAGCAAGGACGGGGATTCATTCTGAGAAAAGTACCTAGACAAGTTCAATGTACGCCATGGGAGCATTGTCCCCACGCCTCGGCAGAGTTCTGATGATTCTCGTGTATCCACCATTTCTTTCCCCATATCTATCCGGAACTTCTGCGAACAAGGCATGTACAATCTGCTTCTCGTAGATGAAACCCAGAGCTTGTCTCCTCTTGTGGAGCGACCCATCCTTGGCTAACGTAATCATCTTGTCAACAAACTTCCTCATGGCGCTAGCCCGAGCTCTGGTGGTTTTGATCCTACCGTGCTTTAACAACTGAGTAGTGAGGCCTCTCAGCAATGCTTTCCGTTGGTCTGGAGGCCGATTGAGCCTCGCAATTCGTCTCCCATGCCTCATTGCAAAGAATCGTGACCCATTATCAATGGAAGGGAAGAAATGGTTGCTAGCATGTTCTGCAAGAATCAAACAAGCCAACATCCACAACATTGACTCAATTTGTAGTTAAACGCTGCTGAATTATCAATCGGATACACAATACAAGCAATTAGAAGCGGGGAATCGGAAAAATTGAATCCTTGATAAGTCAAAATGTGGAAGGAGTGAAAATAGGAAGTGAAAAGTACCAGTGAATCCAAGGGAAAGGAGAGGGTTAAGAGGCGCAAGTCCGGCGAAAGAGTGCAGTGGGGAGCTATGGCGAGCGACGGCGACGGCGTGGGAGGTACGGGAGGATTGAAATCGCATACGGGCAATAGGAGGACGCGAAGAATGCAGGGAAGGACTAGGGAGAGCAGCGGTTAAGGATGCCATGCTCCATCTGCTGTGACAAGTACCGCCCGCCGCCGCTGCCGCCGTCACGAGCATCGTCGCGTTTGCTTGTCGCCTTTTTTTCTTTCTTCTTCTTCTTCTTTCTCGCTCAGAGCTCCGACCGACCACTGTCCGTCTCCGTCCTATGGATAAGGAATGGATTAGGATATGGAATCGACCTTGAAGAAGCCAATTCAGGTTTTTAACTGGGCCTAGTGGTAATGTGGAAGCCCAAGCTGTATTATCTGGCCTACACTAAAGAAAATGGGCCTGCCTGAAAGTGAAATGGACATGGATGTAGTAACACTAGGGGTGTCGGTTCGGTTACCCAAACCGGAACCCGAAAAAACCCGAAAAACCGAAACCGAAATCACTAAAACCGAACCCGAACCCGATAAGGACTTGCGGGTTTCGGTTACCTGAAACCCGAAAATTCCTTATCGGGTTCGGTTAAAGGAAAACCGAAACCCGAAAATCCGAACGCCTAAAAATACGGGGCGAGTTCTATTCGTTGGAGGTTTTTAGCCGGAACCCGAAAAACCGATAAGCAAAACCGAACCCGAAACCGAAAAACCCGAACCCGAGACAAACCCGAACCCGAAAAACCGAAAATATGTATAATTGGGTCGGTTTCGGGTAAACTCGAAAAACCGAACCCGAATTGACACCCCTAAGTAACACGAGCAAAATAGCATAACACGGTGGCCCAAATTGTAAAAAAATAGAAGATTGCAGTGGGCTTAATTGCGATTTTGCTATGGTATACATAGCATTTTTTTTTTTACACCAACTCACAACGTCGCCCTGTTCACTTCTATTTTCATTTCCTGTTTTCTGTTTACATGTCATAAATTTGGCTAACGAAACGAGAAAACATGTTTAATTTTTCATTCTGTTTTCTATTCGTTTCTAACTCTGAAAACAAAAAGTGGCAACTTTCTGCTGTTTTCGAAAATGAAAAAATGTCGTTTTCACCTATTTTCAACATCTATTTTCTAAAAAACAGGAAACAGAAATGAAAGTAAACAGGGCCTTATTTGGTCACGTCATTCAACCCGAAAATGATTGGCCAGGAATGATCGAGTTGGGCGTAAGAGAGAAAAGGGGGAAAGGGAAGCCGGCTGAGCTGAGCCGAGTGCCGAGGGAAAGGGGTGGGATCGTCAGGTGAGAGGAATTTGAAATTGAAAAAAAACTAACACTAAAACTGTCCACTCCAAGTCTCCAACCGTCTCATCCACTCTTCTTCTTTTCTTCTTTCTCTCTTCTTCTTCTTCTTCTTCTTCTTCTTCTTCTTCTTCTTCTCAGTTCTTCTTCCTCTCTTTTGCTCTCCTCGACCTAGAAACCACCACTGCACCCAGAAACAAAAAAACTCTTGACTCGACAAGAAAGAAGGAGGAAGCCGAGCACGCGTCGGAACAAGGAAGGTGAGGACGAGGAAGGAGTTAGGCGACGAGCAGTGACTCGTCCCGAATATCACAATAAATCTCCCAATTAAGGCCCAAGTATAAACCTTAACTGGGTGCAATATAGGACAAGTATGTTTAAATGTCAACCCGGGCCGGTCCACGTACCCCTACTTCGATTGTTTGTAACATTATCCAGCGATGGGTTTTTAGTTACAACGACGATCTATAGCTAAAACGATTGGAAAAGTAAATGGATTTGACACTAATTGAGAAGGCTTCACCGGGATGTTGCTCCCCCTAGCTAGCAATTACGACTAGTCGGATCAAATGGACACGCGTAATAAGGAGGTTGTAAATCGTAGGGAAGTGCAACAAGTGGAAAAATGCCACTCTCTAGGTCTCTAGGTCAAGGGAATTCTATTCAAGCCACCAAAGTAGCTATCTTGACTCTTGACTAAGGGTTTCCAAGACTTCACCCTCGAATCGGAGTTCGGACGACCAAATGACACACTACTACACAACACCAAACTACAATCAAGTATAATCGCAGTCGAGAAATGCAGAACAGTGAGCAAGTTTAATTCAATGTTCAAGAAGACGCGATTAATCTCTCGCCTAGGCGTGATTAATAGCTGGGCAGGAGGAAATCGTCTCGTCTAGCTCTGGGTGATTGATCTAGGCACCTAGGCACTCGGAGGCATGTTTTCACTCTGGTGGGTTACGCCCATAATAACTACTAAAGGGGGGAAAGTGTAGTTTTTTTGTGAAAATCCCAAACCCTATTCTATTTCCCATTTCCATTCAACCAACCGCTCTCCCTCATCGACCAACAGTGAGATCCCTCCTCATGGTTGGCGACTTGGGATGTTTGGGATTGTGGAAAAGGGTTGTATGTGAATATGAATGGATGAATAATGATATGGCGACTTGGGTTTTTGTGGATATGGCTTATCTATCATATATATTTTTCAACGTTTAATCTCGTCTAGGCAACGATTAATCAGCCTGGGCGCTGGGCGGTGCCTCCTCACCTAGATAGCGGCTAGCGTCTTCTTGAACATTGATTTAGTTTATCAACTCCGGGTCTAGATCTACTGCCTACTCCTTGAACTTCTATTATCTAGCGGGAGTAAGTGAGTGAAGTTGAATTCAAACCAAAACGAAAAGAAAGCAGTAAATTGTCCGATTTTCTTAAGCAAGAGAAGAGTCACTCGGGAATGAGTCCCTTAGCTCCTTAGTTAGGTCCAAGTTGTAATTTCCTTTGGTTGATCCACTGTTGATTAAACTACAAAAGATTCGATAGTAGCTTGGAATCTCTTAAGCCGACCAAGCCCTCTTAGACAGACTAACCGACAGACGATTGTCTTCACCAGGCTAGAATGCTAAGGCAATTAACACAGAACTCCACTACTGGAAACATATTCCAGTATAAAGCATTGAATTGATTGACTCTCGTACAACCAATTCAATCCTATCGATTGAAGAAGCTCTAACAACATAATCAGATTCTATCTATCTCAGGTTGCAGCAGAAATCAATAGAAATTGATCAGGATTCAATTGACTCAATAAACACTTCAATCTATTAAAACCAATCAGTATACCAATCCAAAAGTCATTGCAACTCAAATTCCTAACACATGGAACTAGGGTTCTTCATACCCAAGTGAGAGAAGGGTCTACTCCATAGGGAGAGAGGAAAACAGAAATCAAAGCATCCATACTCATAAAGATGGGAATAATTTGCTTTGGGATGTCAATCTTCACTCCTGGGGATGCAATCAAGGCTTCAATGGTGAGAAATCCACTCCAAAATAGCTCCTAAGGATTGTTCTTCGCACTTTCTCTCTCTAGAACTCTGTTTTTGCTCCAAAAATTTGATCGCCTCAAAACATGAGCTCCTCTCCAATAAAACCCGTACAGGTGCAAAAACACGGTCTCTAAGCCGTAAAAACTCGGTCGTGTTTTAATTAGAAGAGGCTGTGTTTCGAAATGAAAATTTTGTGAAGTACAGAGGAAAAACCCGGCCTCTGACACAAGGTCGTGTTTTTCAGCATAGAGGGTGTGTTTGAGGGCGTGTTTCTTAGTAGCCCTACTGCCCGGTTTTCGCGATCGACATTCTTTCACCTCCAAATATCCCAAAACTCGTCCCCAAGCCATATCTGCGTACTAGGACCTGAAATATCACATAAGAACACAACCTAGCATAAAATAGGCCAATGAACGATCAATCGCTAAGCTAAACGATCAAGAAATGAAGGAAAAAACATGTTCGAATGCGATGTTATCAAATTCCCCTACACTTAACCGTTTGCTTGTCCCAAGCAAACCAAGTCAGATACAAGGTAAGCTCAAAACATTTTAATCATGCAAACTTTGGGGACATATCATATAGGCACAACACATGTGAATCGTACTGGATTTTAGACACCAACACATGAGCAACCTCAACGGTAACCTAGACAACCACCACAGATGATATTCGAGTGCAGAAAAATCGAGTAAAGGAAGAGTCTCCCTTCTGTTCACCAACCAACACAGACTTTACTTAATCACTTATTCAAGACAGTCACCTCATGCATAAAACTCAAGACATCATAATCAAGACCGAGCAATCTAGGTCCTCACCGGGTTATAGAATGGAAAGAATATGAGGAAATGAATCGCACACTCTCGACCAGTGGGGTCAGGACAATTTGATGCGAAAGATGCACATGCTTATTCTCTCAATCCTAACTTCTCTTCACCATGATGGCAACCTCTAAGTTCTAGAGTTCACATATCGGGTGTCACCACTAACTAGTCATGAGGTTTTAGACACGGGTTCAGATGACTGGCTATGATCTTGGACATGGGAAAAAGCCTTTTAGGTGATGGAAGAATTCATACAAAAGGTTCCACAGTTCCAAAACCAACACAGTTACAATCATTCAAACCATTTACTTTCTTTCTGCCATTCTGCATTGATGAAGTTCTTTAGAGCACAAGAGTGAAGGAGGTCACAACATGTTAGTATTTCTAAGCCAAGTTGCTAGGAAACACTATCTAATGGGCATGATTCAGCTTTCTGTGGTGGCTCTCTTTTTTTCATTTATTATTTCCCCCCTTTTTTTAAAAGAGAACCACCACTTTTACACATTTTTATCCTTGCAAGCACATGCCCAATTTTTAAGAACTACCTCCAACCCTCATCTTAATTCCAGCAGAAAACAACAGAAAACATGCAAAAACCACTATGTGGAACCTCTAAGAGATGCATAAGGGTGATTTTCATTGTAGACCGAAAGAAAGTTACACGACTCAAAGGGGCCGACTAGGGGGTATGACATCATGACAGACAATTTGGTCGTGGGTTAATCCTATGCTTTCATCGTGCGACAACGTGAATGATACACATAATGGAAGAGGGATCTATCGCACAAGAAAGAAACGAGCATGCTCAAATCTCACATGGCTACCTATATGCTCTATCTCTCATTCTGATTCCCTAAACTAGATGCATAAACGACTGTAGAAAATAAGTAATCAATCCAAGTCACAGTTGGTAAGCAAACATTTGAAAAACTTAACCCCTACACAACTCTACTGCACGTCTTAGTCATCATTATAGATTGTACTAGTCACAAACAAGTTGTCATGCATCGATGTCAACAACCAATCGATTCACCACATAAACCACAGTGCCAATGTGATCATGCAAACATAAGTACTTGGAGCCCTCAAATCTATAGATTTGGACAGTGGGCTAGACTCCAAGCACACCAACATATGTTCCAAAAGAGACAAAACACCC